CATCGCCACAGCTGTTCAATGCATGACTCTGAAGCCTCAGAATAATATTGCTCGTCGTATCCCACGAAGATTTTTGAAAATTAATTCATATCGCCCATTTCTCACCTTTAATACCTTTTTATGGGAGAGTGAGCGAGAAAATGCAGACGTTCAATCCGCTTTGCACTGAAACGTGACATTAACAAAACAGTGGAAATGTAAAGAAAGAGAAGGAAAGCTTAGCAGAACTCATGTTGCTACGAGCGCTTTGTGGATCATTACCACTCATAGCAACGACTGAAGCTCTCAGGGTTGACTCAAGCTTTATTCACATGAACCGTCACAATGAAACCCTTCCGCCTTTTCAGTCAGGGTAGTAGTGATGCTGTCGTTAAAGCGATGTTCAGACGCCTTGTCAAGCGCGCGCTTTTTTTCGGCTTTATGTTCAAATCCCGAAAATGAGCTCAAAATCTTTGGAAAGCAAACGACAGTCTCGTGTCATTCTTAGTTATAAAAGTCTCTTCGAAATGGCTACTTCGCCCGAGGACCCTTTCCTTTCTTTTTTGTTCGGAAATTACACTTCTAGATATCATGATTTTCAGTTTTTTCCTGATAAGGATTGCCTGAGAGAGCTGGAAAGCTGCGAACGTGATGAACCGTCGGAACAGGCCATCCTCTCTCGTTATGTGGCAAGAAACAGGGTGCCGATAAAAACGAGGGATTTTGCCAGAGGTTTGTTTGTTATCTATATTGTCCCTAGAAATCATCAGTATGATTCCGCCGGGAATTTCTAAAGTGTTAAACAGGGACGCAGTTCTTCTTGAGGGGGAGGGGTGTTTTTCAGCATTTCCGCTATTTCCACTGCTGTATTCATTACTTTTCAAGTATTGACTGGTATTCATTGCAATATTTGACAACTGTCTCTACAAACTTTGACTGGTATTACTTCAAAATTTCATAGGGTTTCACGTGTCATTGCTTGATGGCTCGAATCGACAGTGTGAAATTGCGGAATGTGCGAAATGCCTCCCATCGAACCTTTATCGCCGAACTGCGCCAAAAAAGGGTTCTGAAATGTAAAGGAAAAGTTGTTAATGGTTTTCGTGTTGAAAGTCTTCAAAAGTTATCTCATAGACTGGTCTTTATTCACCAAAAGTAAAGGCGGTCCATGAAAATTGGACTGGAAAGAATGTTTTCCAATACAGGGTTAATGGCACTTACGCTCTCTTTGAGATGTTGAGTTGTACGACTTGGTTTCCAGTTGGATTCATTATAATTTTCTTCGTGTTGGCTCGCAGTTTCACTTTCTCGCTTACTAAATGGATCATTTTCAGGAATACGATTCTGCGCAAAATGTAAATGTATAAAGCCTGATCGAGCTCATCATTGTTCCATTTGTGGACAGTGTGTATTGTAAGTTTTGCATGGTTTGATTTCGGTCAATTTGGTGATTTTTCAGTATTTTTTGCATTTTCCATTTGTAATATTTCTGTCGAGCACTTTGGTGAGGGGGTGACTCATGCAATGGAGGTGTCGTTAGGTTCGAGCTATGCATGACCGTGTCATTTCAGAAAGTTCGATCATCATTGCCCTTGGGTAAACAACTGTGTCAATTTTTATAACTACAAGTTTTTTCTCTTATTTCTGGGGTGAGGTTTCGTTATTGTCGAAACTCGATGTTTTCTTTTCACAATACTTAGTTCCAGATATGGTTTCGTTTTCTGTATCTTCGTCTTCTTCACTGACTTGCCGTATTTTATACAGTTTTGGACGCGGGACTACTTGGAACGAAATTTGAAGGTAGCGATCGAGAATTGGCTGTCATTCCAAACAGATCCTGTCATTTTTTCGGAGGATCGTGCTGTTTTCTTCCTATACCAGATATTTCAAGAAAAATCCAGTGTTTTCTACTTTGCGTTACTCGCGCCCTGTAGAAGGGTCTGGCGCCCTTCCTAAAAATGGTCTCCTTGCTCAACCAATTCGTAGGCGTCCTTCTTGTGTCTACTGATTGATGAGCCTCGCCGTGTGAAACTTTTCCTGGACTGAATTCGTGATGAGAGAGCTAAAAGCTCGTTTTAATCGGGATTGCAAGTAAGAGTCTATGCGTGAATTGACTCGCCCATGAATAAAAGAAGCATAGGAAACAGTCAGAAATGGGGCTTTCCCTGTGGTAAGCGAGAGACAAAAAAATGGATGCGGTTCGGGCGAGAGGCCCTACAAGTTCGCCGGGAGAGCACGCAGACAAGTAAGACAACCGATGAGATATTTGAAAACGTGGACGGAGTCTTTGAATGCGAGAATCAATTGTACTACCTTTTGCTTTACCGCCGCTACCTTACTTTCTGACACGAAAATTGTACAGGTAGTTTGTTGCGGTTTCCACTAACTTTACTTCAAAATTAGATACTTGTAGTTGTGGGCCGTTCTTTCGAAAACCGGCACCAGGCTTTCCATTTTCCCTTGACTTCAGCTGATTATCCGAATAGCATCGCCACTGCTCTAGAAAATCCTTTGATAGTGTGCTAGTGTGTCGCAGTTCATAAACTTCACGGCTGATTTGGCTTATACCTGCTGTGATGGTAGCCGCCGGTATAGCCTCTTTTTTAACGAAAAACGAGCTTATTGCGCTGCGTGTTACCTTAAATGCTCTAGCAAAGCATTTTTTAAGTATTCAGTGTCCAGGAAATGTTGTCTCTTTTTACTCTAATTATTGAAGCTGTAGTTCTTTCTGATCTCGAGTGTAGATCTTTCAGGCTAGCAAAATTCACATCCTGTTTCTGGTTTTCGTTTCCGGAATGTTTGCCATATCACTTTCGTTTCTCTTCTTTTATCACCTCTACTTAACAGCGAAGAATAGGACTACAGTTGGTATGTTTAAGTTTCCTCAAAATCGTTACAACCATCCCTGTAGCCTTATTTTTGCGCAGTCTTTCTTTTCTTTGTCATAAGTAGACATGCTTATTAACAAGTTGTTTCAGAATCTTTCCGTGCTCCGATGCTCGAGGGTGGACCTGACAAACGCGCCTTTGATCATGGCATTCGTGCCAATTATAGAGAAGTTTTTGGCTACGATAGCAGGTTGTGGTTATTACCGATATTCTCAAGGTTTGTTAAAATTTTTGCTCATTTTGATTTATGAGGGAGTTTTGCAACACTACTAGTTAAGTCTGTCTGGTGTGAATACACTGCGCAGAGATCACCTTGCTACAGGTAACAAAATTCCTCGCTTGTCAGACTGCTGACTGAATTTGACCTCTTTCTGTCATCACCGATTGAGTCGGGTCCTCAAAATACACTGCGTCCCAAAAGTATAGTTCCACCCATAAATCTCACAATATCCCGCCCTACACGACGTTTTCAAAAAAGCCTCTAGATAGAAAATGTGGTAATTACCAGTGCCAGTTTGCATGCCAACATCGAGAACTAACTTTCCAGAGCAACTTCAATTTTCTTCATTTTTTGAAAATTTCTCACTTTGACAATGTCCCAAAAGTATAGTTCCACCGCATATTTTCCCACTACGTCTCATTTTTTTGGGTAAAACTGTCTCATCATTC